TGTTGAAGTGGGTGTTTCTCTTTGTCGTGGAGAAAGCTCAGCTCTACAGGGCTCGTGTGGGAGAAAGCTCTCCAGTCAATGGAGAGGAAAACAATGCTGCTGAAGAAAAGCCCTGAAATAGCTGTTTACTTTAAGACGAGAGGAGCTGTGCCCTGGAAACACCTGTGTCTGTCAACTGTTACAGAATCAATCATAGAATCATAGAATCATTAAGGTTGGAAAAGACCTCAAGGATCATCAAGTCCAACTGTCAACCCACCACCTAACTCACTAAACCATGTCCCTAGGCACCACATCTACACATTTCTTGAACTCTTGTAGAGGACTGCGAGATAACTAATTCAGATGTAGAAGTCTGCACTGGAGACATCCCACACTCAGTGCACTGGGTCTGGGGACCTGGGCAAGGAGGAGCTTAGTGACACTTAAAGTCAAGACAAGGACTGTGTGAGAAGAGGGGCAGTGGAGTTGGAGGACACATGGAGAGGACGTGCCTCGTCACTCAGCCAGCTCATTGTGGGCTGGGAGCCAGAGAAGGGTGCAGAGCAGGAGGTGTGTGTGCCCCCATGGCGCTGAGAGATATCTGCAGGAGCTTTGCACAGGACACGTGTGAGGGTGGCAGGCCCCCAACATCGATCCTGTATGGATGTTTTTGAACATAACATACTGGACAAATTCTGTTGTTTTTTTCTCCCCCTGGCCAGAGCTGTGACCAGTGCACCATCTCTTTGACGTCATGTGTGTGCACAAGGGCATCTTTTTTTGTACACGGTGTCCTTCAAAGGGAGTGTACATACGTCAGAGAGTTTCTTACGACAGTTCTGCATCGTAGTGCAGATGTGATTTCACTAATTCTCCATGAACAATAAAGCAAAATTCAGCACAGGGTAAAACAAACACACTTGCCTATTTTTGGTGGCATTTTTCAGGTTGCTATTAACCTTTCATTTGAAATTTAATGCAGAGGACTACACATTGACTCTGAGCAGCTTCTTGGAACAGCGTCAATTTTCCATTTAGAAAATTGCCTTTTTTTTTTTTGCTTAACCCTATGTGGGGTGTTGTTATTTTTTTTCTGAGAGACACTTCCCTATGGAAAACTACTCTTTGGGTCTGAAATGAAAACCAGTTTTGCCAAAGCCTAAAAATTATGAGCAATAAAGTAGGAAATGTTATAGAAAATAGCAGCTGAACTGGGGGAGGGACATGTTTAGAACATTAAGGCCAAGCCCAGAAAAGTGATAGAACAGAGTCAGACTCACAGTTAAAATTAAAACAGGCCCATGGCCAAATTTAAAGATGCTATATGTCTGGATGATAGTGGGGAAAAAACATTGAAAGCATAAAGAGAGCAATAGCTGGCAACAGGAAACATCTGGCAATGGATTTGCCGTAAAATTCATTTCAGACAACTGGTGGGTGAAGAAATTTCTCTGTCAGGGAAGAGAAGAAATCCCAGAATAATGGAATGGCATTTTTCAGTGAGACGCAAAGGTGTTGTAAGAGTCCCACGGTGCTGAGGAGGCTCTTCTCTCAGCCTTCTATATTTGGAAGTTCAAATTGCTGAGGCAGATTAGAAGTGCTGAGCCCAGTAAGCCAGTGTTAATGGGTGATTTCCAGTGCATGCATACATTACGTGTGCTCTGAGGGTGTTGGTGCTGCAGCCAAGGCATCCATCCAGCTCTTAGGGGTAGACCTGAGCTACGCCAGGTGCTGAGGACTGTCACCATGGCTGCTAAAGCAGCTCGAGATGCTGGGTCATTCATCTGAACCAGAGCTCCATTCAGTTGTATTCACCCACTGTAAAGAGCCAAACTTCTTAATTTAAAGCTGTCAAGTTGTGCAGCTGAAGTTGTGAGCTGCTGTCATGCCTGTGATGCAGCACAGATACATTCTAGTTTTAAAAGGGTGATACAGCTGGACCCCCAGGGGTTATTTCTAGATGAAACTACAGTATAAGGAAGATGATGGTAGTGATGGCAGCTGGCATAGATTTTGGAGTTCTGCCTGTGTGACCAAGGGCAGAAATTCATCTGCAGAGTCTTCCTTACAGTAAATTACCACAGGAACAACCAAGTCCACGGAGTGGTTTCCAGACATAAGGTTGAGTTAAAGGTCAGGCAGAAAACAGCAACAAAAAAAATAACCTCCCTCTTGCATAAGGGAACTGAGCACAGTAGAGGAAAAAGTAATGGGAAAAGACCATATAAGATCTTAGTTCTGCTGTACAACCTTCCTTGGGAGTCTTGGGACTCCGCTGTGGACACAGCTAGTTGCACACATGGATGGGGTGGTCAGAGGGAAGGACACCTGTTGGGTCCATCTCTCCCAAAACCTTATCTGACTGGTTAAAACTTGAGACATTTTCATGGAGGGATGGAACAGGAGAGATGAGACCTGACTCTTCTGCCTGAACTTGGAAGGAGAGCAGAAATGCTTTTTTCATTATAATTTTAGTTACTGTCCTGAGTTTTGAATCTCTGGTGATAGTTGACAGGCACCATTAGAGGAGATGTTTCTCCACTGCATGGTGTGTTCCATCCAGCTGCACCGTTTCTGAGACCCCCTCTGGCTGCAGAGGGATTGCATGCTGGCTAGACATCCCAGAAGTGTATTTTGAGGTGGTAGCTGTGAGACCAACACCAAACTGCTCTCTATAATTTTTTTGACCTCATATGAAATAGGAAAGAGATCTGAACATGAGTCAAATTCAGAGTGTTTTAATATCCTTTTCTTTGCTTCATCCAGTCTTGCATATTTAATTTAATAGATCATATTTTTATTGTGTGATATGAACTATGAGGTGGATATATTACAGATACGCTATTTATGTATTCTGGTTGCCTTATAGGCAGATTTCATACCAACATGATTAAGGACTGTTTTTTTTCCTGTTCCCTAAAGATTGTATAATGAAATTAAATGCATATTTTCATTGAATATTTTTGTAGAGTTGGGAGTGTGGTATGTCATACTTCACGTGTGGCTCTGAGTTTGATAGTATCTTATGCCTTGATTTATTTTTGAGACAAATAGTTTTCCTTTCCACTGTGCTGTTAGTTAGGTTTCTAAGCCATAGATTGAACCACAAAGACATTTACTGAACCATAAAAACATTAATTCCAGCAAAATCAGAATATTATTTGCACTTTGATGCAAAATAGCAAAGGCTTTAATGATGTTTAGGTAGGACTTTATTACATCTGAGTGTCTCTGGAGAGCTATGGTAACAGTAGGGGAAGTATTAAAATCAGTATTGTTTGTTTTTCTATAAGTAAATGAGAATTGCAAGTCTTCTCCTTGTGAGTCAACTGAATATTTGCAGGAATTAACTAATCTATGCCAGAGCCAGCATGGACTGACCCTTATCCACCTGATTCCCCTTGTTTTGCTCCATCATGTGGGATGTTGGCACTGCAAGGGGTCATAGAAAGAGCAGGAGAAAATTACCCCCAAATAATCCTTGTGTGCACAGAGTGCTTCCTCCTAGGGTAGTGTAGCTTAGGGACTGATGTCTGTGGCCATGGTGGTGGGAAGGGAGAATTATGCTGCCCTATGGCTGGGTTTTGCTGTAGTGGGAGTGAGCTATGCCACCTAAGGAGCCCTTCTGCTTGTGCCCTGGGCTGTGGACATGGCCACTGCCTTCCCCTGTTTGGTTCATGGCCAGTCCTGCCAGGAGAAGCCAGCTAAATTGAAAGGAACCAACCAAATTTGATGGATCCACCACACCAGTCTACCCTAAAGCTTTGTAAACCTTGAGCCTGGGGCTGAAGCTCTGATCCCATTTTTCTCAATCCCATGATTTTGTGCATTATTTTTATGGGCCATGCAGGAACGTGCAGTGTTGGTAGTGGGGATCCTCTGAGGAAATGGACAAGTCTCCATGCAAACAAAGTGTCTGGTCTCCCTCTGTAGTCAGTGGAGAGGAAGAGGCATTTCTAGGACGTCCCCCTTGCAGCAGGTATCTAAAATAGGCATGTTGCCACCATTTTCCCTCTGTTGACTGCAAAGGGAGCTGGAGGTGGCCTTGCCCATGAGGAGACATCTCATGAAGCTTGCCAGTATGTGTCATTTTAAATGGGGCTGTTCCCTCTGGAGAAGGTATGTACTAATTCCGCCAGCTTCACACAAACTCTCTCTTGGTACCAAAATGGTGCAAGAGTGAGGTGTTGCTGAGGTTTATTTTAATAGTAAAATTCTGGACTATGAGTTTGGAAACAAATCTCCAAAGACGAACTTAAAAATGAAACTAGATGTAAGTTTAGATCGTATGTGGGATCTGAATTAATATTATTAATAAGCTAAATAGCTAATATTCTTTACTAAATAATGCTAGGAAGTTTCTTACAGTTTTTCGCTTACACTGCTCAGGGCTTATCTCAGTCACAGAGGCCATGGGGATGATCTCCCCTCACACCATAATTCTGCCTTGGGGTACCCTTCAGAGATGACCCTGGATGGCATTTTTAGAGGTATCCCAATACTGGGTTTATCTCACCTAATTTGTCTGGGCTTCCTCTGAGATTGATGAAGAGGGAAAGGCACTTGCAGAAGGCGATTCACCTCTTCCATCTTAGACATCCAACCTAACATGGGTTGACTTGTGCTCTGGGCATGGCTTGCTCCTTTAACCAAAGAGGAAGCCTCGTTGGCTGCTGTAGATCAGATACCATGATGACCAGAAGTTTGGGATCAATCCTGCCCTAAGAGACTGGGAAAGAAATTCTGGTGGAATCTGTGTCCTGTCTCTCTAGTGCTTTTGCAAATCCCACCTTCTGCCTTAGCATTTGGGCTGCACAGCATCCGATGTGCTTTGTGCTTGCCCTGTGATGATACACAGTGATCATCAAAGCCGTGGCAGTGCTGCACAGTATGTTCCACGCCAGCTACTTCCTTTCTGCTTTAATTATAACTGAGTTTGCTAATCCCAGTGTTGATTAATGAGCTTAATATGCAAATGTTACAATGAAACTGAAACTCTTTGTAATTGCTTGCAGACAGATTACCACTTCGAGTACACAGAGTGCGACAGCAGTGGCTCCAGATGGAGGGTGGCTGTCCCGAATCCATCGGTGGAGTGCTCTGGACTACCTGACCCGGTGAAAGGGAAGGAATGCAGTATGTTGGCACTTTTCATTTTACAAACCGTTACTAGTTGTTTATGCTATTTACCCTTGTGTGGCTTCTGTCACTGATGTCCTGAACGTCCCTGAGTTAGTCCTTCCCCTCCAATCCTTCTTGTCTCTTGGAGTTGTGGAGCAGGAGTTGTCTTTGCAGCATAGTTGTATAGCACAATATCTGCTACAGGTACCCTCGGATGCTAATTCACAGACAAGGCCCCCCTATTACAACACCCCTTGAAGAGATGTGGTTGCTTGTCTTGAGCTGCCATACTCTTTAAGTTCTGCAGCTCTCCAGTTCATTTGTAGCTGTATTGGCCAAAATGGTGACCAGGAGTGGCCAAATTATATTTGCATAGGGTCCACATTCTCGTTACCTGCATTATTTAGCTAATTAGTAAACTGAATGCATTAATAATGGTAAATGTCTTATTTGCCTTATTTTCATTATGAAGTTTTTGCATTTTATTTATTTATGTATTTATTTTTGACGTCTTGGTGTGTTCCGATATCACTTGGTCCTGTATTTTGGGGACATAAGCAAACTGCCACTCTGCAAACACATTTGAACTGTTCCCTCACTGTTTTGTAGCTTCCCAGGCTGAAGGCTCTTTCCCATCACAGTTCCCTGCTCTAGCAATTCTCTTCACAATCAATCCTAGCCACGCTTTACTTTCTCAGTAATTTGTACCAGGCAGTATAAATGATTGATGTGACAAACAGGATGAACAATGGCAACATCCTTTCAGTTTTACTGTATGAGAGGTGATACTTACTCACTTCTGACTCTCCTCCTGTAAAGGTTTACTGGTCATTTCTTTGTGGCGTATGTTCCAGTGTGAGGCACATAAGTGTTTTCTGTAGCACTGTTGACCTCCGGAATATTTCTGACTGCTTGCAGGCATCATTGGAGAAGCATCCTGTGTCATTCCTGGTATTTGGGTTTCGTTTCCTAGGTTTTAAAAGTAGAGCCTTGGTATATCCTTAGAATGTGTTTTTCAATTACAGAAATAGAGAGCTGGGAAACACCTCAGGTGATCCCACAATTCATCCCCCAGCCCAAATAGCTATAGTAGCAATGACTTTGTAATTCATGGCTGATGTTTGGCTGGACTGTTTCCAGGGACCTCGGGTGATGAAGAGCCCACAAGCTCTCCAGATATTTGCCCATCTATTTTATTCTTTTCATCTTCCCTCCTGTGACAGCTTTCTCTGCTGTTGGGTCTCCCTTGTTATACTTCAAGCCTGTTACTTTTTGCTGTCTGCACTACAAAGGAGCAGATAGCGTTATCCCTTCTGCTGCACAACCACTTTCAGTGTACTCTGGAGTACACAGGTATAACCCATTTTTTTTCCTGATATACACTATTTCTTCTTAAATCTTGTGATAAATGGATTAAAGGTCCAGCAACATTACACTGTCGTTGACTTTTCTGCTACAGATTCTGACAAATGGTACTCTTCCCTCTTCATCTCCTCTTGTTTATTTGTCTGTCTGGTCTTAAATCAGTTCCAATAAAAATTCAACTGTTTTATAACAGTAGACAAATCTTTGGCTTCTCCATATCTGGCCCTCTGCTGCAAGGGAGAAACTTTGCCCAGTAGATTGACTGTGATATTATACACCAAAGTACAGGATCCTGTTAAATACACTGGAAAATTCATCTCAGTAGATGCCTCTCCTCCTTGTAGTGTTGCTGTTAAGCCCCGTGGCAATTCAGCTGGTTTGAGAAGCAGTTGGATATTTGACATTTTTACTGAACCCTTTGGATGTCATCTCTCTGGGCTCTTGGGAGTGCTGTGGTGTTAATGTATTTCTGTCTTTTTTTGTGTGTCTGTAGTAGATTCTCTGGCTTCAGGAGACATCTGGCTATATTCTGATGGCAAAAGTAATTTTAGGTTTCTGATCTCTTACTCTTTCACCTTTTGCTTTAAGAACAACCAGTCTTCAGGCTGAGAACATTAATCTGTCAACAGCAGTCAATCGCTGTGGAATGTGTAGGAAACACCGCTCCCGTTTGGCTCGGATAACGTGGTGCAAAAATATTTGAACCTGCAAAATATTTGAACCAGAGCAGAGTTTGGCTGACAGTCCCTTCTTCAATTGGGTGGGATATATTGGGAGAGGCAGCTTTTGAAAATTATGTGCCCTCCATCTCTTTAGAGTTTGCACATGGGGGTCTGTTGTTGATGATGAGGTGTATTGCAAATGCTGACAGGTAGACACCTCCTCACTGACGTCATATTCTCTGAGCTGGTGGCTTCTGTCTCATCTGACAGCACAGCAGCTGGACCAAGGCTGTTTTATACTAAAAACACAAATTTCTGTAGCCTGAGGAAAACGGAAGGTTCTGTATTTGGGGCTGCTACAACTCATGTTCTCAGTGGATCGTGTACGGAGTGAGATTTGTGATACAGGCTTGGCCAAGGGTTGCATACATATCTCGCCAAGTAATTAATGGCTCCTTGAGATGCCTTCCTTTTCTCATAGGTTTACTGTTATTTTATCCTGAGGCCTATGAAGAAATACCATAACTATGCCGTATCCTTTGAGATGTTCTTTCTGGACATTCTACAAATTTATTCAGAGTCTCCTACATCTTATAAATCCTACCCTGTGCCAGAGCATACTGACACTGGTGGCTCATCTTGACATTTGGTGGAGTCTTAGACACCCTTAGGTATCTATTTCAGTCCTTCAGCCTGGAGAACTGGGGACGGCAGTACAATTGCCCCACGTAGGATGACTTCCTGCTTTGGAGATCTGTTATCTTCAGAAGTTTTGGTTGGTGTCTACTAGTCTGGAGATACAGCTAAGCCAGCTATGTTTCTGCTTTTAAAACAGGGTTGCAGTTGTATAACAGCATGAGGTCTAAGGGCTTTTTTTGTCTCCTTGAGGTTGTCAGAACCCTCAGTGGTCCTTGGTGGCAGTTGCAACACAATGGATATGGAGGAATCTGGGTGAGGAAGTGAGGTTTTTTTGGAGCGTATCTGCCACCGCTGCTACCTTCACGATATACTGTTTGCAGTTGTTTTCATCTGTTCAGAAATGCCTGCTGCTTGAGAGTATCTGCTATTGATCTTTACTGCTCCCTGAAAATAGAAGTGACTTGCAGGCTGTCATTAATTTTGGATCCTAGGAATACTTCACCAACCTCTTCTGCTTCCAAATGCTCAGCAGTCATTCTCTGTAAATTGTGCCTGAACTAGGAAGTTGAAAGATGGTATAACAATATGTTAAATGTCTCCAATCACCTCTGTAAGTACGTCTAGCCTGTGGTCTCCAGTGAAGTGGAAAGACTCTTGAGATTGCTAAAAATGTATTAGCTCAGGTACTTCACATATCTGGAGCAATCTAGCTGTAGCACCAGAGCTCAGTTGGTGTCTCAAGATGTGCTCATTTTCAGGATATCGTGTTTTACAGCTTTTCATTTGAATGAACCCATTTAAAATTAGGTTGGGTATCTCTGCGCTCTGCTGCATTTTGAAATGCACGCCGACCTGCAAAGCACAGCTGACTGTGACCCACTGAGAGGAACTGCCAGCGTTCCCGGAATGGCTGTAGTTTACAAAATGTGTCGGGACTCAGCCTTTTTTTTTTTTTTTTGCATCTTCAAAAACTTAATCAGCAAAGTTTACCTGCAGAGAAGACAGGGTCCTCTGAGAAAGAGTCATGGGGCTCAGAGTAGGAAGGACTGTCATATTTTGACTGCTTTATGACCTGTTTTTTAGAAGAAGGGATTTTTGCCTTTATCTTGCCGTGAGTGCAGAGCAGTGTGATGACCCGCCTTCACCCTCCTGCTACCCTCCCCTCCAGATCTCTCCCATGCAGGTGGGAGGTGGGAAGAACGAAGGAACCTCTAATGACAGATGTTTCTGATGCTGTAGGAGGTCCCGCTGTGCAGTGACCCTGGATACAAGAGGGAAGGTGCAGGAGCAGCTCTGTGGCACAGTAGGTCACTTGCAATGCACTGGGACAACGTGTCCCTTCCTGTATTTCACTCCCCTCTTTTTTTTCTGGTCGGTTTGCCCTGTGGAGCTGTAGCCATTGCCACTTTCAGACCCCACATCAGGGTGTCACCCTGCGTTTTGACATTTAGTATGGTGTGGTACCTCAATGCTTGCCCTGTGGGGCAGGGCTGCCTCCAAACGGGCCATGGCACAGCCATGCCAGACTGCTCGGCCTCCTCTCTCAGGCTTGTGTTGTTCAGAGATGAGTCATATTTTCGATGTGCCACATCACGGTTGCAAGGGATCCTGCAAAGAGATGCATTAAAAGTGCAGCAAAGATCTCAGCTAGCAAAAAGACAATATTTATTCCACCTGAAGCTACTCTATGTGGCTCTCCTCTTCTTCCCATTTAAGATGTCCTCTCCAGGCATCTTCCTGGTACCATTTGGGAAGTGGGGTACATACATGGCAGCAAGGAGCATTGCACTGGGGGGGTGGTGGACAGAGAACCTCCCTCAGCGAAATCCAGACCTCTGACTCACTCCATTACTTCTTGAGAGTCAGGAATGTGCTTAACTAATTTGGTTTCATTAATTTTTAATTACCACAGGTCTCACTCTGATATTAGCTGGTAAGGATCACTGCCATCAGGGCAGTTGCTTGGCTTTTCAATAGGAAAGTATTTATGGCAGGGAACCAGAGCAGGTTGCTTTTGGGGCTAAGCCCTTGCCTGCACCCCCTTACGGCTGGTATCTCTGAAAACCCTGTGCTTTGGTGCAGGGGCTGTATGCAGTGGCTAACAGGGACTTTTTGGGGCCTGGCAGTGGGAGCAGGACTTGGCATCGTGCTCGTGCTGACACTATGCTGCAGTCTGTTTCGGTGGGCGCAGTCAGGCTTTTCTGCCAGCCTGACCATATGCTGCCTGTTTTACACTCAAATTAAAAGTCTGAATTTGGAGCTTTCCTTCCTTCCTTCCGTGTCTCCTGTCCTTCCTCTCTTCTTCATCTCCTTTCACTCAAGTATAACCCAAATGTCTGGCTCAGTGTG